CCAGGGACCAATTGGTGTGTGTGTGTGTCCAATTCTGCTCATAGGAGTCATAGTGTGCTGAAGGAGCACAGTGTGGGCGACCTGGCACATCACAGGCAGCAGATATGCAGACCCCTTTGCACCCCGAGGACCTCACACCTGTGTCTGTTGATCCTTGTGAAGATCCCACTGGTTAGGAGGCTGAGTTATGAAAATCCCATCCTGGGGTAGGGGTTGTTCTTGGGAATGAACCGTCCTCTGGCTCAGCTTGGGTCCCAAAGCTCATGTGTTTGCAGAATTCAACAAATACAAAGAATTTTGGTCATTTCGAAAACTAAGAGGAATGGTAGACTCTAGGGCTAAGGACCAAAAGGGCCTGATGGATGCTCCAAGGAGGTTCCTTGGAGGAGGTGACGTCTTAGAATTCTAAGAAGGCCACAGGGAATTCTCTAGGCCTGGGCAGAGGCAAGCGAGCTGTTCTGGGACTGACTTCCCACAGACTGGTGGCCAGAGGGCCAGTGCTGAAGAGAAAAGCAGGAGGGAAGTACCCAGTGTCTATTTGGTCAAGCAGGTGATCCCTTCCCTATGCCTATTTTGTAACCTGGTAAACTGAGACCTAATGTTGAGGTGAAGTAGGTCTGGGCCACTGAGGTCAACTCTAACACCTCAGATTTCAGGCCCCAGGGCCACATGGAGAGAATTAGAGCTTGTAGGCTTGTTCTAGACAGACTTGGATGAGGGACAAACGTACACAGAGCTGGCCAGATACCTGGGTAAAGCTGGTCAGGTCCTAGTCTCCCATAGTGTGGGGCACTGCAGGGCGTCCATGGGCAGTTCAGGGACTAGAAGGTCAGCCAGTCTAGCTGAATCTTGTGAGCTGTCCCCCCTAAATCAGGTGGTGAGTGATAAAGGAAGACATTCACGTCAACCTCGGGTCTCCGTATCAGCACTGCTGGCGCACACGTTGATGCATTTGAGAAAAGTTTAACTTTTCAGAGACTTAATCCCACACTGTCAGAAATATCCAGATTCAGAGTGGCTTGGGCAACCACTTCGCTCTCCCCTTGTGACTGTCCAGGTGGGAGGAAAGACTTTCTGAAGAGACAGGTGTGCTTCTCTTCTAGGCTACCAGATTATTAAAACAATGGCATCGGAATTTTCCCAGGAGTCTCACGCTGGGGAAGAGAAAGGCTGAAGCCTGGTGCCAGCCAGAGGGGGAGCCTGTCTCCCAGAGAGATCTCACGGAGTTCTGAGAACTTGTCAGACAGCCTTTCAGGAGAGCCTGGAGCTGACAGTGATGGGTTGGTGATGGGCAAGACCACACCCTGACCAGGACTGCTTAGCTATGCACACCTCCTGTTCTCTGCTTAACCCTGAACCTCACGTCCGGACCCCGAGGACAGACTCAAGAGTCTCTGGACCTCTTTGTCCCTCTTCCCAAGGGGGCAGCTCCTCTCTGTTTTTCAGGGTTATCTATTTGAGGACAGTGGTTGAGCCTGTGCTGCTAGGGCTAACATGCTTACTACCTTCTCTGTCAGCCTCCATTTTCCTCTCTCTCATCCCTAGAGAGTCCACAGCTTTATAGTCACTTTCCTAACAAGAAAACTCTGCTAGTCACAGGGCAGTTACCAAAGTAGCCAGTGTTTGATCTGCCAGTTTTTGTCCTGTGATTGTTTTCCACTCTTTCTTTCATTTTCCAATTTTGTGTTGACCACTTGTTGATTTTCTGAAAAGATATTCAGCACCCTCAACCACTTCCTGCTTGCAGAAGAGAATCTTATTAGGACCCAGTCTTCAGTCCTCATTCCTGGGTTGTCCCTCCCAAGAAAGTGCCTGCACATCAGACCCACAGCCTGGCACCTGGCTATCCTCGAACCTGGCCACCCTTCCGTCTGCCCACTTTTGTATCAACCATGCACGCACTGCCCCATATACCTGCCCACCTAAGCCCTACTTCCTTGGTCTTCAGCAGACACTTTTAAAAGTAAAGCCTTTAATTTCCTTTGGCCACTGCTCTGCCCAAGTCACTTGGGATGTCAGGGGATCTTCAACTTTTGACCTTGCTGTGTACCCTGTGGGTATTTCTCACCCCCATCTCTCCTGCTTCCTTCCCTCCTCTCACCAGCCCTTCTCATGTCTAAAGAGACCGTGATTTGCATCTCAGCCCACATCCCATATCTTGTCATTATCCAGGGAATTCTCAAAGGCATCCGGACCCCACGGTCCACAGCCAGCTTCTTACCTGCTCTTGAACTCAGAAACATGACCCCAGGTCCTTTGCCCCCTTGGTCACTAAGTCCTGGTTGCCCACTTGTTCCATGTCTCTATTAGCTTCTTCTTCCCAGGAGATGGTGCTGGCTCCCCTACCCCACACCCGACCTTGCTTCCTTACAGGGACTGTCCACCTATTGAGAACTTTTCAGAATACAGTCCTGTCAAGGACAGCCATTCACTGGTCCTCTCAGTCTTGCTGCTTTGGCAATGTATGACTTGTTACCAGGGTCACTCCATCATCCTTGGGTCAGTTGGTTTGGTTTGGTTTGATTTGTAAAGGTCTCTCGTATTTCATTCATTCACTGGAAAAATGTAGCAAGTGCCCATTTTCTGCCATCCCACCCAAGAGTTATATGTCCCAAGCTCATACCTGTGAAGAGCTCTACTCCTGTATGCCCCTACTCTGTGCCCACTGCCCCTACCAACCCTAAACAAACATGATCTGGAGTTTTATATTTGATATTTCCTGGCTTCAAGAAAAAAAGAGATAATTTCTTTTAAAAATAATATTAATAATATTGATTGTCAACTTGACAGGACCTAGAGTTCCCTTGAGGCAAACCTCTGGGCATGTGGTGCTTTAAATGAGAACTATTTCCCTTGTTTGAACACTTGGCTCACAGTTGGTAGCCCCGTGCGGGGAGGTTTAGGTGATGCGTTCTTGTTGGGAGAAATGTGTCACTGAGGACGAGCCTTGAGACCAAAAGTCTAGCCCCACTTCCAGTTTGTTCCCGCTGCGTCGTGTCTGTGGTTGAGATGTGAGCTCTTTTCCTGCTCTGGCCAGTCTACCTGCTGTTGGAGTCCTGCTTCCCCCATCATGATGGACTCTTACCCAACTGTCATCCGTAAGTTGTTTCCGGCCATGGTGATGTTTTACAGCATCAGAAGACTAGCTAGTACTTTGTCATGTCTGAGGGGAGTTTCTGGTGGAGTCACTGAGGTGGGAAGACCGTCCATAGCCTTGGGTAGCACTGACCTATGGGCTGAGCCAGAGAGAAGGAAAAGGGGAGAAGGAGCCGCGAGCCAGCCTTTGCCACTCTGCTTTCTGATTGCTGATGCCACGTGACAAGGCGCACTTCTGCCACCATCCCTTCCCACCGTGGGGCACTGCACCCTGCAACCATGAGTTCAGACTGACCCTTCCTTCCTCCTGGAGTTGCTTCATCAGGTATTTTGTCACCACAGTGAGAGGAGTAGCTAATACACCTGTGAGTCGCCATGGCCTTGAGTCGCCATGGCCTTGAGCCTTCCTTGCCCAGAGCAGGGCTGCAGTGGCCTTGCCTCCCCTCTCCCAGACCTCAGATGCCTGGTGTGTGGAATGCAGTCACATTGTTCCTGGTGAGCACAAACCCAGGAGGGACTCAGGCTCACTAGTTCCCTCCCGAGTGTCGTGCTCAGGCCTGTCTTTCTGTTGAAGTCACTGTCTAATCACCTGTTCAGCTCTGCCAGGTACAAACCTGAGCTTGGAACCGTGCTCCCGTCCAGCTTCCTGAAGTACCCATTTTCCTCTGACATCACCATATACAGCTTCTCACTGAAGCGTCTCATAATCCCTGGCCCCTGGGCATGTGCCTTGTCATGCTGCTCTGTATCCAAGCCCACCTGCTCTGACTTGCCCTGCCCAGCCCCATGATGAGGCAGAACTGTCCCCAGAGATCTGACCTGCTGCTGTAGGAGTCAGTCTAGACGTTGAGGGGAACGCTCAGGGCTGAGGCTCTGCCTAGAAGGGGCTTTGGGAACCCATGAAAGGAGCATGGTGAAATCAAGACTCCTGATACTTGAGGGAGGGCCAGGGAGCCATCCCCAATAAAGGGAATTCTGATTGTCAGTGAATGTCCCCCAGAGTCGCTCACAACTCCAGGATGCAGTGGAGCAACCCTTTCTGGGATTCCCCACTGAAGACCTAGGACCCTGACAGCATCTCCCATGAAGCAAGGGTGGGGCCACAGTCTTACCTGTTGGGGATATTGTCCTGGCTAGGCCAGGGCCTGGGACTTACAAAAACAAGACAAGTTCCCTTCTGAGCCAAGATAGGGCCAGGATGGGCCTGCCGCAATTCTACCCAGGAACATGGGCCCAGGTCTTACCAGCTCAGTACATGCCTTTGGAGGAAGGTGAGACTACTGACTTAGAATAGCCTTGTGCACCTCTGTGGGAAGGCCTGGAACCTGTGGCCCAGCTATGAAGTCAAGTGCTGTACCATCCCAGGCCTCATGTTTCTCAGAGTGAGTGTATTATTGGCCTTGTTAGATCAGTAAGATCCAGGCAATGAAGCATCCAGGCAAATTGTGAGACTCAGCTTTACCCTCATCCCTCAGTGTCCAGAGAAGGGCAGACACTAGGTAGAGTGTATAGGAGGCGTCAGGGCTGACGTGGGCTGAGTCTGGGGATGGACACAGAGGGTCAGCCTTTCAGGGTGGCTTCTGACTTTTGGCTGAAGATGGAGCCCTAAGAATGGAGACTGAGCCTGCCTCAGAGTGTGCCTGCTAAAGGCCTTCTGACTGGATGACTGTACCAAGGGACAGAGGACCTAGCCTAGAAACTCCCACTCAGATATGGTTGCTGTCCCATGGTCATTCTTCTCCAGGCCCTGTCATGTTAGACAAGTCCTGACCCACCAGCTGTGGGGTACAGCTTAGGGTCCTTGGACTGTACCTAAGCTGTGTGGCCTCCACACTGTCACACTGTTGATTACTGCTGATAGACTCCAGAGTGGGCAGACAGAACTAGACCAGACCAGTGGTAGGGATGTGAATCCTTTATTGGCATGAGGCCTGGGTACTCCCAGCCTGGCTGTGGGGTGCTCCACCTGTGGGGGGGGGGGGTGGGGTGGGGCAGTGGGCAGTTAGGACTCAGACTCAAACATCTTCTTCCGGCCCTCCATGCCAGATTTCTCCTCAATATTCTTCCTCCAGTCACCCACATCACGCAGGTCCCGCTCCTGAGGGTAGAACCAGAGAGGCCTCAGACCCGCCGCGGTCTTCCCCAGACTACCCTGGGCCTCAGTTCACTCTCTGCGAATGGGACAGTGAGTGAACTCTCCCTCTTGGCTCTCCTTTGGGCCCTGGCCTACCTTCTCGGTGTCCTCCTTCTTGACCTGCTTCAGGTTGGCCCTCAGGTCCATGCACACCTTGTGCTTAGAGCCCAGCAATGCCTTCAGCATGGCATCAGCCGACATACGCACCCTCCTAAGTGGGGGCCTCTTGAACTTGCCCCTCAGGTCAAATAGCTTCTGGTTCATGTCTTCCAGCTAAGAAGAAGGAGCAGGAGGTTTAGGGACCTGGCAGCCCCCCGCATCCCTGATGTTGTTGACCTTGTTTTCACACTACCTGGTTTCACCCCATATCAGCTGGCCCTACCCCCCCCATATCATTTGGCCTCACCTGGCTGCTTCAAGTCCCCTGCCCCTCCAGCCCCCACTCATGACCCCTGAAGCCACTGGCGTCCCCCTCTCACCTCCTTGCTGCTCTTCTGCACCTTCACCTCCATGTCGTATTTCTCCTCCTCAGCCACATCAATCTTCGCATGCAGTTGTTTGCAAAGTTCCTGGGTGGGCAGGCAGCGGGTGGGTGGCCACCCTGACCCTTGAGGACCCCTGTCTCCTCCCCATCCTGACCCACCAGGCCTGACTGGTTGAGGAATAGGGGTAGCAGGACCCTGGGTGGTGTGTGGCAGGAAGGCACTACCTGCACTTCAGACATGGAGCCTGGGATATGCAGAGGTGGGCAGTGCTCGGACAGGTAGTTCTGCTTCTCGGATTCACGGCGGCTTTCCTCTTTCTCCAGCTCTGTGGCCGCAATCTGGAGCATCACACTCTGAAGAGCAGAAAGGTGGGAGTGAGGCTCTGCAGTGACTGCCACCCCCACCTCTGTACCCCCCCGCCCTCTGCAGCCTATAGGTGCTGTCTCCAGGCCCAGATGGCCCTGTGCAGTGACTGCCACCCCCACCTCTGTACCTAGTCCTCTGTGGCAGCCCATGCCTACCTTCAGGTGCTGTCTCCGGGCCGTGATGGCCCTGTTGCGCTTCTGCAGGATAGGGCAGAGAAGGCAGAGTTAGGCCTTGGCTAGGGCTCTGTCCTCCTTGGGGCCATCTGACCCAGGGTTCCAAAGGACGCCACAGGGCCACTGCCCAGGGCCCTGTTTTTTTGTTTTGTTTTGTTTTTTCTTTTCTCCCATTCCAGCGCCTGCTTCAGGAACACATGCCTGTGGTCCTGCTACTTTGCTTAGGTGGCACATAGGGCTGAAGCGGGTAATGGAGTTAGGGAATGGGGAGGGGGTGTGGCCAGGGCTCGGAGGCTGTGGGCAAGGGGAGGCCTAGGAGGTGAGCGGTGATCAGAAGTCAGAAAGGAGAAGTGATTCCCCTGTGATTAGGCCCAAGTCTCACTTCCCTCTCGCTAGGCACCAGGTAGGCACTTCCTTTGTCGCTGGGGTTGTTCAGGGGGTGGGGCACTTGGGAACCTTGGCAGGTGTGTCTTCTGACTTAGTCTCAGGACACCATTATAGCCTTGAATGATACTCACCTCCTCACTGTCCCAGGAGGAAGAGGGAGGCGGGAGGGAGAGAGAAAAGAGAAGTTAGGTTGTGGCTCCATGGGAGTAGCCATGGAACCTTGGGGTAGATGAGGTTGAAGGGGTGGGTGGTAGCTACAGAGAGCGGGGAGATATGGGACTGCAGTGAAGGGGGGGGGTCACACTGGGTGCCACTTACTCCCCCATCCTGAGGTCTCGAGCTCTGAGCCTGTGGGGAGAGAGAGGTGAAGATGTTAGCGTCCGGTTTGCACGAGGCCGAGCATGGAGACCTGTGCTCACCAGCCCACTTCTGCTCTCTCCCCCAACTCAGACCTTCTCAGAGGGCAAGGATTTAGAGGACACCCCCACCCCCACCCCGAGGGTGAGAAGTAAGAGGAGAAAGTGTTCCCAAAATGTCCCAGGCGGGGCCTGAGGAGCTGCAGCTGTCCCTGAGGGAGGGGTGGGGCTGACCAGCACAGGTGGCTGCCAGAGTGAGCCTGTTATTTTTAACTCTTGCTTCTTTGGCTGGAGAAGTAAATACATAGGAGAAAGAACTCTTCTGCGTGGCCTGGGGGTTCAGGTCCCCGCTTGCTTGACCTGAACACTCTCTCGCTTGTGTGTCCCCAGAGTCAGAACCTGCCATCAGAGGCCCCGATGTAGACCTCTGCCCCCTCCTACCAGCACCTGCTGCCTTACAGTCCCAGATCTGTAGGAGCCCCCAGAGCGAGAGCTGTTGGCAGCAAACCTCAGACCCCCAAGTCCCTTCCCAGGGAAGTCCTCCTGTGAGCTAGCCTGAGTAATGTCCTATTCTCCAGCCTCAGGAAGATGGGCCAGGCCTCACCTAGAGTCTGTGCAGCAGGACTGGGAGCGAGGTCAGGCAGGCAGCAGTGAGCTGGGCTGGTGGGCCAGGGGGAGGGGTATAAATGGCTTTCCCTAGGCCGGGCCCCTGCTCAGAAAGGGCATGGAGTCTCCTCAGACCAATGGGGGCACAGAGAGGAGGAGAGCCTCCCCACCTGCCCAGCCTCCTGGCCAGCCAGCCCAGGCGCTGGCCTGTCCAAGAAGTCTTGGGGTGGGGGGGTTGGTTTGCTCTATTTATGTCTCAGTGACAAGTTCAAGATGTCACCCTTGTTCCTGCAAGAGCCCTCAGGACAGCAGGAACTACACTGCATGTGGGTCTCCAAGGTACCAAGCCGGCTCAAGCATCCACTGAAGTCTTCCTCCATGGGAAACCTGGCTTCCCAAGTAGGCTGAACTGGAGTCACTGTCAATAGCATGGCCTAGTTAGTAGCTCAGCACCCATCTGGCCACTCATTGCCTGCTGGATGCTCCCTCCCTGCCTGGGCCCCTGGGGTGATTGCTCACCACATCAGTCCTCCTGCAAAATTGGACCCCCCCCCCCCAAGAAATAAACAAACAAACCCAAGACAAAAACAGTTCCCCTGGCCCTGTGTGGTAGTCAGGGCTCAGGAGAGGAATGCCCTTCTCTTGTAGTGAACTTGCCTTTCTGCCCAGGGAAAGGAGAAAATGGGCCCCTGGACCAGCAGCTGGGCCTCTCCCAGCCTGCCACACCCCCTGCCCATGGGTGTCTCTCTGCACAGGCAACTTGGAACACGTCTTTCAACCCCAGAGAGTAAAGCCACCGCCCTAGGAACCTCTCTCTGACCCGTGGGGGCTCAGGGCTCTTGGTTGCCTAGGCAGGTCCTGCATTGCCCGGCTCACTGGGGCCAGGCCCTCGCCCCTTTCCCGCTTCTGAACCCCACCCAGAGACACCCAGATCATGGCTTGGCCCCAGCCCTGCTGCTCTGGGGCCCCTGAGGATCAGAGGAAGGTAGGAGCTGCTAAAGCCCGCCAGATGTGCTGGGATTAAGAGGTACATCACAGGCCAGGACTGCAGCCCCCAAAGGCCCCAGAGCAGCTTCCAAAGGCATCTACTGCCCCCTGCTGATGGTACAGAGGACACTCCGTACCACCATCCCTCATGGTTTGGGGGTCTCTTCCCCACACTGTCTCTACGCACAACTCCCCCCATTCGCCCACTTTGTCCCCACAGGGCCAGCTCTCGTCCCCTGCTCCTCTGCCAACCCTGGGTGCCAGAGAGAATGGTGCCATCTCCCAGGGAAGACCTAGTAATCAGGCCTTGAGCAGAGGCTCAGGACTGGCAGAACTGTCCAGAGCACCCTACCCCATCCTTGAGAGGACAGTGGTGCCAAGGTGGAGCCCACCATGAGTCTCAGGTTCTCCTCACGGGGCTTCATCAGAGCACATGAGTGGGAAAGAGAAGGCATTTATTACAGAAAGCTCAGAAGAGCCTGGACAAATGCCCACAGCTCCATTAGGGGAAACTGAAGCTTCATCAGGGTTCTTTTAGGAGCGAGGCCTAGGCAGGGGCAGGCGAGGCTTCAGAGCCAGAGCACGATCCACCTCCCTGGGGGACTGTAGGTGGTGCCACTGGGCGATGGGTCGCCTGGCATGGGCCAACATATCTGCCCAGTGCTGTAGGGGTTGACCTGAAGCCCGGGAACCCAGCAACACCTTGCCCACAGGCTCAGCCCGGAGCTGCAGGCCATGGGCCCAGACAGCCAGCACCAGGTCCACACTCTGCAGACATGGAATGGGAAAGGGTTGTCAGTTTTGTCAGTTTGACCCAGCACAAAGTCCCAGGCCACTCTGCCCTTCCTCCCCCCTCCTCACCTGGAGCTGGCTAAAGGGAACCAGGAAGGTGAAGGCCTCATTGAAGTAGGGCATAGTTGTGTTCTTCTTAGAGGATGTTTTCTTCTTCTTCCATTTTCTCTGGTTTAACATGAGCTGGACCTTTACAAAGGGCTCTACATGGACAAGAAAGTTCAAGAGGGGCGTGTCCCATACACGCACATGGGAAGGTTGAGCACAAGGGCCCAGCCCTCTGTACACCCCCGTATAGCTCTTACCTGAAATCCCTGGATTCAAGCCCCGAGCCTCGAGCACAACCACAGTCAGGCGGCCTGAGCTGGGCACATAGCGCAGTGAGAAGCACAGCTCCCCCATCTGCTCAGGCTGTGGGCAACAGGACAGGGCCGCAGCTGAGAGGGGGCTCAGCAGATACAGCACCCAGACCTTGGCCACCCCTATGGCACAGGCAGGATCTGGGCCCCTGCCAGCCAGGCTTACCTCGGTGATACCAGGAGGGCCCAGCTGGTACCAGTTCTCTAAGACATGCTGAGGGTCTACAGTGCCCAAGGATAGCTGGAGCTCCCCCAGTGGCTCGTGTTCCGAGAACCGCTTGAAATCCAACAGCTGCACCTTCAGGGTGGCCCTGGGCAGCTCTGCTGGTGGGACCTGCAGGCAGGGCTGTGAGATGGGTCCTACAGCTCTGGTCCCAGCCCACTCTGCCTACCTATGTCAGACTTACCGAGAAGTGGCATGTCTCTTCGAACATGGGACAGAGAGTCCCACGGTGCACCTTTGTCTCATGTCTTCTCCCAGCCTGGGTGGAAACACTGACACAAGCGTAGGGGTCCGCTGTGCCCTCAGCCTTCAGGTTTTCGGCCTGCCTCAGGCCCACCCTAATCTGGAATCCAGTGGGTTGGCTCAGCCTGAGTGTGTGTTGGGGGTCCTCTTGCCACGTTCCCCTCCACCTGGCACTTCACCCATCACTCACACCCTCCATCAACTACGGAACCTCTGGACCTCCTGAGTGGGACTTACCTCCTGGCTTCCAAAATCATACTCCAGTGAGAGCAGCAGTCTCCCCCACTGTTGCGGCCCCCCAGAGCAGGGCTCCAGGCAGTCCACATCTGGTTGAACCTGGGATGGGTGGAGGGGTGATCAGATAAGTATGGTTGAGACCAATCCCCAACCAGAGGCCTGGGCTCTCATAATATAGGTCAAACTACCACGAGCAGGCCAGCCCACAGAATGGCTCATATCCTCAACACAGTTCCCTAAGACCAGCCATATCTACTTCCAACATGACATGCATCGTACTGCTACTGGAGCTTCCAGTAGCCCTTGGACCAGCATCTGCTTGCTTCTTGAAAGCCTCCTCCCCCATCACCTTTGCTCATCTCCTTCCTCTGCCAGGAAGGCCTGCCAGGGCTGCCCTAAACTCCCTAGCCTGGACCTTCCATTCCCCTCCCTGTAGTGAGCGAGTACAGGATTGGGCACAGGTAGACACAGGTCTCCGCTCCTCACCAGGTGAGTAGTGGTGCTGTTGGGAGCACTGCCCAGGCCCACAGCTTCTTTGTCTTTGGGCTGCTTCCTGCGGCGGCGTTGGCAGCGGCGGCAACAGCAGTAGACGCCACAGAGCAGACAAGAGACCAGGAGGACTCCAGCAGCAAGAACGACGATACAGAGTGCCCAGCGGGGCCCTGGGACAAGGGTACAGGCTGCTGAAATGCCTCTCTAGACAATCTGGACCTAGTTAGGACTGGACTAGTCTACTAGACAGGACAATGCCCACACCACTCTTGGGGTTCCAACCACTCACAGGGGATCCTGGTAATGAGGTCTGGAATGAGACTGGGCTCAGCAGTGGTGACAACTGGGGCTGAGGTGCTGCGGGGGTCTGGGACACGCCCCATCTTCCTGCCTCTGTTGGCTCGGAGGAGGTAACTGAGGAATCCAGGTCACTTGAGGGATGGCCCTTTGACCGTGGTGTGCTGCCTCTTCAGCTGGCAACAGCAAGTACTGAGTACACCCTAGATCAGAAGGCAGCCTAGGTGGCCAGGGGCAAGGGTGCTAGCCTGGAAGCTAGGCAGAGAGAGACTCTGGGCCTTGGCCAAAGCATTGACTTAGCTGCCACAAGCCTGGCCTCTTGCTACTTTTCCCAGTCCCTAGCCCCAGCCAAGGAAGCCAGGCCTGGGCAGCCTGGTACCTGCTTTTGCTGACCCTTGCTCACTGGAACCAACACACATTGCAGGAACTTTGCCCCCCCTTTTTTTTCTTGCACTCAGAGGCCTTTTCTCACTTTTAGGGGTGTCTCATTTCCTGAGGAGGATCCATCATAGGCCCCTGCATTCCAAAGATGTACCACGTTCTACCAGGTAGTCCAGTTAACTGCAGCCTCAGAGCCAAGAGCAGCTTGGGCCATGAGGTCATGTGGGAGGGAGCTGGGGCATAGAGCCACCAGCAACTGGGCATGCGCTCCAGCAAGCCTAGGCTGAAGGAGCTTTGCTGGCATGGGCACCAGGCCAGCAGTGCCTGGGGATGAGGGCGAGGCGGGGGCAGGCAGGGGCAGGGAGAGCCTGAACATTCCTCCACGCTGAATCAATGCCGGCCTAAACTTGCCTACCTGCCTGCTTGGCCACCCTTGCCATGGGAGTGGGAAGGAGGAGGCCATGAAGCTAGCTGCCTTGGCCTCTGTAGCCCACCTGCCCAGAGCCTGAAGAGGGTACACACCCGGCAGGCTGGCTTCTTCCACCATGAGCAGGAAAGGCGGGATCCCCAGCTGGGGGCTGGGAATTACTGTGACTCCCTGAACTCAGGTATCCCTAGCCCCACTTCCTGCCCCTGCAGCTTCCCTAGATGGCAGCTTCTGGCCAGAACTTTCTAATTTGAGTCTACCCCACTGTGCGACAAGTCTGCTACCCCTCTGGCCCTACCTAAGCCCAGACTACATACAAGTTACTAGAGCAGCCTACCCCTCCAGGAGTGAGTAATTGTGGGGTCAAATCCTCTCTTTCCTGTACCCTCAGCCTGAAATCCCCAAAATGGTTCCAAAGACACCCCCTCCTGCAACATCAGCACCTCACTGCCTGGCAGGCTGGAGAGAGGCAGTCATAGCTCAGAGAGCCCAGAAACATCCACCCCTCAGGGATAGTGGGTAGCTGAAGATCAGGAGGGGACCAGGTTCTACCTCCCAGGGCTCCCTGTAGGGATGCTGCACATGTGGGTCCATGAGCTTTCCAGGGATGGCCTGGGGTTGGAGCCCTGAAGTTGGCATGACCCTAGAGCAGAGGTGCAGAGGGTGATTACAAGAAGCCATAATGACAATGGAGAGTGGGCTGGTGGGGACCTGAGAGGGTCATAGTGTTAGGCTGAATGCCCCCCTCATCTCTTGAAATCCCTCAAATTTTAGCACAGGTACCATATTTTAAATTCATCCCCAGGCCTTATGAATCATACAGCTAATCCCTAACTTGGTTTCAGACCCCAGTCTGGAATTTGGTAGATATAGAGACTTAATGGGTCCCCTGAAGAGGGAGGAGGTGATCTGCAAGCCTCAATAGCCTCCCTTTCCACTAACTTCACTCTTGCCTGGCATTCTAAAGTCTTCTGCTAAGCTGGAGTCCACAGGGGACAGCCAGAGTGCCCCCAGTAGCGCCTGGAAGAATGAACTGGTGGGTTGGAGCTGGCCTGTTGTTCCTCAAGGGTCCCTAGCATAAGAGGGCTGAAGCCAGGCTGAAACAAGTCTGGCTCCCTGAGTGGGCAAAGCCACATTTGTCATTTGGTAGCGGTGAAGCCAGCGTGAATGTTGGAATTCAAGTAACATTGAGATCTCTCTCTGTCTGTTTGTCTCTGTCTCTCTCTCTCTCGTGTGTGTGTGTGTGTGTGTGTGTTTGCACATGTGAATTCATTTCTTTGCCCTTCTTGTCTGAAGCGCTCCCTTACGGTAAGAACAAGAGACAGAGGCACAGAGGCCGTGACTTCTCACTGCATGCAGATCACGAAGGCATTCTGGATAACCTAGTGCTGACACATGTCCACAGGGGGCTTCAGACTGTCTGGAAGCTAGCTTTGGAGGATTCTGGGTCCTCAGAAACACCAGCTCCTGGTACTAGAAAGATTTTCAAGGCCTGGAGAGATTAAGGCCCCTTAGGACCCCCAGGTCCTCATGGTGGTAAAGGTGCAGGTAAAAATACAGCCACCAGGTGGAGCCATTCTCTCCACTGGTCCCCACCCACGGGTAGCTTTCAGCCTGCAGAGCATGGACTTCCAGGGAAGGTGAGCCTGAGCAGGACAGACAGAAAAGAGGTTCTATGATTCTCCAGTCCCAACCCAGGGCCTTGGCTATCCCTGTTTGTATGACCGAGAGCAACGTCCACTCCTGAGCAGCAGGCAGGTCTTCCTGCTGACTTTGGTAGTCTGCTCAGGAAGACTCAGCAGGCAGGCACTGTTTGACCCAGGAAAGAGAGTTGGGGGGTCCCTGCTACATCTCCAGGCTTCCCCGCAGCAGCTCTGTGCATCCAGCTCTGTAATCCCTTCTAGGCAGGACGGCTGACTCAGACCTGGGTCTGAGGCCTGCCTCCACTGCCCCAGCCTCTCACACCCTGTTCATTCTCCAAGGCTTGCATGAGCCCCACTTTCTCCAGGTATCCCTTCCAGGTCCCTCAGAATTACCCAGGCTTGTGCTGGATGCCACCCAGTGCCCCCTTTAAGGCAGGAGCCATGTACAGTTGCTGTGGGCCTCTCCTCCAAATTCCCCGGCAGTCTAGGATCGAGTACTTCTGGCTTAGACCCTGCTACCAACTCCCTCCACCCTCAGTCTAACTGAACCTTGTAAAACTTCACGGGGAGCAGGTTTCTGTGTTACCTTTTCCCAGGAAAGCAAGACACCTGCCCCCAGGACAGCAGTGATCCTCCCTCACCTGATGTCTACTGCTTCCTGTGGCTGCCAGGCTTTCTTGCTGGGACCCCAGCCCTAGCCACGGCGAGGTCCACTCTTACGCAGCACCTGGAGCCCACAGCAGAGCCGGCGCCTGTTGCTAGTGATCCAAAGAATCTTGAGGGGGGGAGAGGGAGGAAGGGGTGTGGAGGCAGGCCTTTGGGGAGCCCCACCTCATGGCCGGAACTGCTGGCCCTCAGAAGCCAGGAAACTCCCTTGAGAGAGAGAAGGGCCTCCCCTTGTCTGAAGCCCTAGGGCAGGTGTCTGAACTCTGGGCTATCTCTAGGGGCTACTCAAGGCTGAGGGTTACCCCACCCACAGCAAGCTTTGCAAACAGGGGTGATAGGCTCTCTGGGCTGACCTGTGTGCAGGCTCACACACCCAGAAGGCCTGAGTCACACAACTGCTTGGTGAAGAGTGTGCCTCCTGGCAGTGCAGGCCTAGGGAACCAAGCACAGAGAAGGTGAAACCCTGTAGGGGACCTGCCTGGTGTTGTGTAGTGCTGACCTGGGCCCATAAGGGCCTGGCTGGCCTTGTTGCCACCCTCAGAGAACATTCTGTTCCACTTCCTTGAGTTTTCAGCTTCCCACTGAGCAAGCCCTCATCCTGGTGTCTGAGGTCCTTGCAATAATCTAACCTCAGTATCTGTTCCATCAGTTTGGGTCCCACCATGTGGTCTGAGTTCCTCATTGTGCTCTGACCAGTTGGTCTGGTCTGGTCACTGCAGAGCCCTTTATCCATGATTGGCAGTCAGACATTGGAATAGTTAATGGTTAACACGACCTATGTCACTAGGCCCATGTCTCCAAGTCTCTGGGATGGTCAAATAAGTCTTTTTGAGGAAACTCCAGCTAGAGGATGCTCTGGGACCACGGGGTACACGTGGGGTACACGCATGCTGCTCACAAGTGGCCCTGGGCACGTGGGCAGCAGTATGGGGTGGTGGGTCCATCCCTTGTTATGACTTAGGTGATGCAACAGGGACTTAAAATTATGATCAGAGGGGCCAGAGGTGTGCCTGCAGGGATATCAAGGCACCCTGGTAGCAAACACCTGTACTTTGGGACCCACCAGGCCCCTGTAGAGCAGAGCTTCAGGCCCCACAAGTAGCTCCCACAACCAGGCTGTGTAGGGTCTTTGTGCCTCTCCAGAACGAGGGCGCCTCCGTGGCGAGACGGCGTCTGAGGTTCTGAGGCAGGAAGGAGAAAACCAAACAGAGCTGGCAGCCCACGGCCAGGCCCGCGGCCCCCAGACGGCGGCTTGGCAGCCAGAAGCCCCGTGGAGACCCTGGCGGGGCTCCTGGACTCGGATGCTTCCTTTGAGGATGCCTGGGGAATGTTTGAGGTTAGAACACACGGCAGACGCTGGCGGGAGAGCCCAGAGCCTCTGGCAAAGAAGCAGGAGACGTGCTGGGATGGGACACGTGCTCCCTGCCTGTACTGACCCTGCTGTGAGCCCTATACTTCTAGGCACCCCTTTTACCTGGGGTCTGGAAGAGCCAAAGACGGGTGCTCAACTTGTCCCAGACCTCTGTATATAGCTTGTGTGTGCACTCAGGTTACCTGTGTATTGTGGGATACAAGCTAGGTACAATATCCCTGACATTCCAGCCTCAGAACCAACCTGAGCCCCATTATCTAGACACTTTGGGAAGCTGAATCCCGACTTCTAAGCATCCGGGGAACCTGTACCTCATTGTGTGAACATCTGGTAAGGCTGTGTGTCCTATCTCCTGAGCAGTGGAGAATGCACATTGATCCACCACCTAAGCACCCAAGGAACACAGTACCCATCTCCTAACCATCCAGGGAGGCTACACCCCATCATCCCAGAATCTGGAGAAATGGCACCGTTATCAGGGCCTCTCGGGAGGACCTCCTGCCTGTGCTTGGCATAGGCTGTGTGCTTCACTGCTACACCAGGACCTCATAGCCTACTTGAGCATGGTGTAATGCTACAGTGTCTTGGACATGACACACTGAGTTTTGGGACTCTATCGGAGACTCCAGGGATGTGAACCCTGACCTCCGCAGTGCCCAGCTGAGTCTTCCATCCCCTATACATATGCCCTGTCATGATGGAACTCACTGAACAACTAGACGCATCTTCCAAGGGCTTCAGAGAACTGGAGTTCGACCCCATCTACCATATAGCTTTGTGAAGGCCTCATACACATTGGTTTGCCGTCTCTGTCCAAGGAAACCATAGAATGGTGTCTTTAATCGACACTTGTGAATACCTGGGGGTACATGCCCCAAATAGCCAACTGTCTCTGCAGCTGGGTGACCTGTTCCCTGTTCATTTGGGAACAGGGGCTCCATTCTGTGATCACCAGGGTCTTGGACAGCCTGTACCCTATTTGCTGGGCTTACTGAATTGCCTATTGACACAAGGTTCATAGGACTGCATGTCAGGCCGGAGGCCCAGGGCCGGCGCCACGTTCCTGTGGTTTTGGACACGCCACTCCTGGGCATCACACCACTGTGAGCGTCCTATTCACCCTTGTCTCGGTTCTCTGTGTGCCATTCATTGAGCTCTGGGCTGCCTGCCCACCCCCAGCCGCCCAGGTGTCTGCACTCTGTACCTGCGCCCCATGAGCTGAGCCCGCACAAGAGCTGACTGCTGAGTTCTGATCTCTGTACCCATGGGTTTGAGTGCGTGTTACCTACACCCCATTAGCTGAACACGGAGTTCCCACAGTCCACTGTACTGTGGGCCTGAGTTTCCCACTCACGGGCTCTATAGCGTTTCCACCCTGGTCACCCCATGTCCTCAGAGAGGCCTTTTGTGAACAGTTGAGCCTTACAGTCGTTAGCCAATTCCTTGCTTTGAGAGGTATAGTAGCTTCTTTATGTTTTTGAGACAGGGTCTTATGCAGCCCAGGCTAGCCTAGAACTCACTAGGTCGCTGAGAATGACCTTGAAGTTCTGATTTCCCCTGCCTGTACCTCCTGAGTGCTGGGATTGTGGGCTACCAAGCCCAGTGTATAGGGCTGTGGGTGAGCTCAGGGTCTCATGTATCCTAGGCAAGTACTCTAGCCATTAGCTTCATTCCCACCCTTCTCTGGTCGATTCTCTGTCACCCTTTGTTGGAGTTCTTATGTGGGTATTCTGCTCCCCAAAGAACTAAGGTGATCAAACCCTGGAGACCCGATACCTCGCTTGTCTGGGTGTCTGGGTACCTTTTGCTCTTAGCACACGGTGGCTAGGTTCCCAAAGCCCCCCACTTTCTGATGCTCACTGTCCTGTATGCTTCTGTCTGAGGGTCTCCATGTCCTACCCCAGTTGTCTCTGCATAAGTGCAGCAGGCACCCACCTCCAGGTGTCTGTGTGCTGTGTACGGGTTCTCAGATCTGAGCACCTTTCACGCCTTCCCACAAGTACAGTGGTCACTTAAGGCTGGGCATAGCCCTGTCTCTACCTACATAGCTTGAGATATGGCGACTGTGGCTTCCCTTGGGCTAAACAGAGAGCTTACGCTCAGGGTTCCCAGCTAGCTGCACCCTGCAACCTCTTCCTGGGAACCCTTGCTTTTCTGGGTGTCTGGCAGCCTGCCTCTTATTCTTCTAAACTGCTAGGTAGAAAAGTCTTCAAGAATCACGCCACAGCTCCCCCGCCCCAGTTTCCAGGGTCTCCGCCAACCCTCCCCATCACCCAGGAGCTGTGCGCCAACCCAAGAGTGCTGGCTGACGCTGACATGCACCCCACTCCAAGGCCCCAGTCTTCCTCTTCATCATCGCCTGAGGTTTGGACAGCTTGTCCTCCTTCACCAGGGTCTTTGGCAACCTAACACCCCACTGCCTGTCTCTCACGTAGGCCCACATCCCAAGGCAAGGGCCCCCAGCAGCCGTTCCAAGATCCACTGCGTCTTTGGATGTTCACTGCCCATTCATCACAAGCGGGCGTCACGGCCCATGTGAGTCCATATCCCTTCTGGTCCCAGTCTCTATTCATGCATGGCGCCAGGCTGGCTGCTTTACCTTCTGAGCGTCAGAGTTCCTGCTGTGGATATCTGAAGACCTCCCACAATCTAGCAGCATGTGGGAGATATGAACCCTACTGATACAAGAGTCTGGGTGTCCTGCACCCCCATAACAGAATTCCACAGTGCTTTACCTGACACATACCAGTGAATAAGTGAAACAACCTCTGAATGTGTCTGAAATTGGGGTGCTATCCCTTGTAACCCCTGTCTGAGTGCCTGAATTGAGTATATCTGTGGATCTGAGTACTGGGGTGCACTGTTCCCTATTCTACCAGGGTTTCTGGGTGGTATGTGCTCTCAACTACCTCTTATTAGACCTCACATAGGCCCATATCCTAGGTAGGGGCTCCCGGGTGGCCAGTTCCAAGCTCCAATGCATCTTTGGATGTCCTAACCCATTCAGGGGTGTCTGGGCCCAGTGAACCCATTCATCCCTGTCTCAGGGCCTCTGTGCTCTATTCATGCACAGCTCTGGGCAGCCTGCACCCCGTCCACCCCCATCTCACAGACAGTCTGTGCATTGTCGCCCCTTTTCCAGGAACAGCTGCCGGGCAGCCAGCAGGCACATTCCGGGGTTTGGCCTGAAGCCAATGCAAACCCTAGCTTTGCTGGCGCTAGCAGCAAGCGGGGTGCGGGCTAACCAAGGAGAGGAGGGCAGGCATGGAGGGAGAGTGGAGACCCTCAGTTTGGGGGCATGTGATCAAAGGCTTCCCTAGACACACACTGTCCTCCACCCAAGGGAACATTGGGAAGCCAAAGCCAGCCTGGGACAGAGGCCTGTCTTGAACTGGCTGCCAGCAGGAGCAGCTGTATGCACAGTGTGGGAGGAAGAACCCTCCACCACAGCCGCTATTTCCTGACCAAACTCCCTCAGCTGCCCACCCACAGACAGCCCACTGGCAGAATCATCAGCATCAGCCTGGGCAAGGTCCCAGGCTGGGGGGTGGGGAGGTGGGCAGAGGTGAGCATGGGGTCTCATCTCTGTTGCTGTACACCCTAGTCCCTCACCAACCCTAATGGGGACCCCCCCAGTGCTGGGAGGGTCACCAGAAAATGAGTATTGGACTTCTGGACCCACTCGGTCTCTCTAAAAGATGGCAACTGGCTTATCTTGTCTCCAGGCCAATAGAGGACAGAGAAGAAGTGATTTCTCGGAGTCACAAAGTTGTTACCTGGTGGTACAGCCTGTGTGAGTGAAGACCTGGTCTACTTTTCAGGGTCCTTGACAGACAAACTGGTCATAGTTCTCCAAGTATGTGTAAGTTATCCATGTTCTCTGGG